TGAACTACGAACGGCTTGATCCCTCCGATCAGGGGGTACGTAGGCAGCCCTGCTTGCAGGGCGCAGCTATTATATTAACAAAATTTTGTATTTCCATCTAATGTTGAAATACAACCGAACCGAACTATACATCGATACCCTGGCCAGGCAATTCGATCGAACACGTTCGAACGAGAACGCACACCCTTACTTAAGTCTGCCAAAACAAGTAAAAAAGTCTTGGAAAAAACCTACACTTAAGGGTCTGAAAGCCGAGCTCCGTACTCGCAAAGCCTCGATAAATTGGGTAGCGTAAGCCGGGGACGAACCCGCACTCCCAAAAAGTTGTCAGGCCAATACAGGATAAGCCGATCACCGCGCGTCGCACCTCACGATGTCTCGAGCCCGCCTCGAACACTCCGAGCAAACTCGGAAAAGCCGAAATAGGTAAAATTTCGCACAAGCCAAGTCCAGCACTTGCATCATACCGGCAGAATAAACGTATAAGCCGAGGACGGACTCACAAATTCCCAACCGGTCAAGCCTACCAGCAACCAAAATAACCTTGGCGCCTAGGCCTCGCATCAGCTTGGTGAACTCGCACCAAACCGATCACGACCAGGTTTATACAGAAACCGGCCGCGTCCCGTCCTACACAGGAGCCGACCCTGAAGAACAGGCTAAAATAAAAGAAGGAAAAGAAGAAATAAAGGCAAAAACCACATAAAATAAGCCGACCTAGCGGCAATCATGTTCAAACAAACCGACCCAGCAGAAGTAAAGCTAAAAACCGAGTTAACGGCATGAGTTCAAAAGCCGACAAAGCGGCGACTAGATAAGAAAAAGCCGTCAAGAGCGGCAAAACGACAACTTTAAAAATGACCTCGCGGTCAGCCTTCGATATCAACGTCCTCCCCGTCCTCAACAACCTGAGCTAGCGGAGTAGCCACCCGTGGAACCTCCTGGCCGTCGCCAGTCTGCTCAGCGCCTATAGCCTCGGTCCCAAAACCACCCCCATCCTGAAGTTCGGCCCCGGTCTCGCGAGCTTCATTTGCGACCTCCTGCTGAGTGTCCTGATCAACGGCGTCTTCTTCGACCTCGTCGCCTCCGACGAAGTCCCTACCACTGGCAGCCGAAGCGGCATACTGAAGGTTCTCAGTAACCTCGTCCCGGTCCGCAAAGAGGGTATAGGCATCGAAATCGCCATCCTGAAGTTCGGTCACGTCTAAGGCCGCAAGATCAGCTCTGTACTGCGCCACGTCGGCCTCAACCCTGGAGAGCGTTTCCTCCGACTTAATGACGACCTCGCCGTCTTCCACTAAGGCCTTCAGAAAACCAAGGTTCCCGATCGCCTGGTTGTAAAGCAGAAGAGTGGGCTGCGCGGCACGGGTATCCTCAACGTGAGCCTGTAGACGGGTGAGACGAGCCTGAAACAGCCGGGCCATCTTCGCAAGAGCTTTGCCCCTACAGTACTCGCCGTACTCAGCACGACGTTCTCGCAGTCTAGCCTTTTCGGAGCGGAGGATCACAGCGAGCTCGTCATACCGAGCCTTCTCTGCCTCCACCTCGGCGCTCAAACGGTTCCTCTCTGCAATCAGCCCATTCCGGTGATGATCGAGAAGGTTGACCTTCTCCCTAAGCTTCACCGCCTCGTCCTTAACAGCACCCAACTCTCGCGAGACTTGCTCTACCCGCTCCTTCTCCGCAGCAATGGCAGCCTGATAATCACTCGAATTCGGGTTCTCGGTCGAAAGCCGACGAACTCGGCGCTCGTAGAGATGAACCATGCGGTTCATCGCGAAAGTCGCCTGATAAAAATATGTATAAACAATCGACCGAGAAAGGGTAACAAAAATATATATACACATATATATAGTAATAACCTCGCATGATTTCCGGGCCGCCTCGGTATACGCATCCCGCTCCCGAAGATCCTCGATTAGAGGGAACGAGCCGGGGCCATGACCCATCTCGCGGAATAGAGCAGCACAGGCATCCGCATTAGATGTAAAGGGAACATCCCTATCGACATAGCGGTACGACCACCGGTGGTCGGCGACCCGAGGCCTCTTCTGGGCAATCGGACGAGCCCCCGTATCAGCCGGCCTCTTCCTATTCAGAGGCTCGACTGAGCCACTTCGGGCTCCTACGGCCCGGAGATCGTCACTTGGGGGAAGGATTACAGCTCGGTCACCCTCACCAGCCTGCTGAGTTAAACGAGCTACGAGCGCCTCGTTCTTTTTTACCCTCTCGGAGTTAGGGCTCAGCGGTCGAGAACTTCCGGCCTGGAAGGCGTGACGCCCTCCCTGATCTAGGAGACTCTTCTTCAGGGCCTCCCTCATTTGGCGCTCCTCTGAGCGAGTTGGCTTCGCCACAGGAGTCTCCGAGGCCGGCCTCTTCTCCTTGTAACGACTGGCGTAATCCGGAACCACACTCAGGTCGAACTTACCCATTGCTTTACGACCTAAAAATCAAAAAATACGTATGAGCCAAGGGAACGAAAACCCGCGGATGCGAACGATATATGCGATACCTGGTTTTGGAGGAGCGGAAACTTTGGAACTTTGACGAATTGGCCCACGACAAGAAGAACCTCGGCGACCGCGTGAAGAATTCCGAGAGGGGCGGCGAGCAACTTTGTTGGTAGACGGCCAGATATATGTACCCTCGGCGCGAATCTTTTCGAGGTCCTTCTTGAGCTGCTCGGGAAATGGATCAAATATCGTCGGGAAACGAGCTGCATAAAAAAGGAAAATATAAGAAAATCGAAAACAACCAAAGAAGAAGTATGAGGGCGGAGGACGAGCTCAAGCTACCGGGTGAAATTTTCCACCCTGTATAGATCGGAATTCTAACGTCCTCAACAGACTCTGCCGAAATCCTAACAAAGAAGTATCCCGCCGACCAATCACTGGTTTTGCTCTTGGCCTCGTCGACAAGCTTAGGAGTCGTGGATGACTGGACGTAGTGTAAGCCCGGCTTTTTCTTGCTGAGGCTCTTAATCTTAGTCACCTCCTCGTAGTGAGAAGAACGAACAACCACGCCGCACCTGCTCGCCAACCGAACCAGGCCTACCGCATTCCGGATGGCAGCAACAGAAAGCTGAGAAAGAGCCATCTCCCGCCTCGCTACGTATTCAAGCAGGAAGCCCGGAATCGGAAAAGTGAGATCGCACTCCGTAAAGAAGCTCTCATAAACACAGAGGAAGCCGGCCGGAGCGGACCAAGGTCGCTCGGATAAGGCCGGGATGCGAGTCTCAATCGAGGACGGAGCGTCACAATAATGGAGGGTATATGCGAGGGTCTCAAATGACGTCCGGGTCGGCCCCAGGAAGTCAACGTGATAGGGAGACGGTCCGGGAACCCCGAAAGGCATCTCAACGAGCTCAGGCTCAACCTCCAGATCGTCAAACTTGACGTCACCAATATCCTCATCTCGGAGACTAGGAACGAATGGAACGATCGAGGTAGCCCCAATAAGATCCCGTTGAGAGGGCGAGTCGCGACGTCGCAGTTCGGCCGCGAGAATCGAGGAACCAGCGTCAGACGACCTCGACGAGTTCTGTCGACGAGGGGACGAGACGGACTCTAGGTCGTCATCAAAAGAATTGGCCCGGAATCGATCAACGGATGATACACGATCCGAAGAATCAGATGGGGTGCGAGAACGGAAGTGGTCGGAAACGGAACCGCGAGAACTAGCGTCGGAAGACATCGCGATAAAACAAAAAACGAGATAAAACGAGAGAAAACGAAATAGAGAGGAGAAGGTTATACCTTTAGCGGAGGAAGAAGAATGAGAAACGGACGAGAGAAGAGGGGGTATTTATAGAAGCGAAAGGTGATAAGTAATCATTATATCTACAAAATTGAGCAATAATTACGAGCTAGGATAGCTTCACACGCGAAGGGACGCTTCGATCTCCGAACACCGGGAACCACATCAGACGAATCGATCCTCGCGTCTCTCCCACGCGCGCGCGTCGCCGAAACTCGTTGCTCCGGAACGGCGCGAAGAAGGACGATCTCTTGCGTGTCTTGGGAAGGGAAAAGCAATCATGATCCTCGCAGCACACGATGAATCATGATTGGGGGGCAACTGTTGAGGGAGAGATTGGGCTTTAGAAATATAAGGCCCAATCCAAAGGAAGCCCATCAACGAGGCAGGCCTTAAACCCAAAGGTATCAAGGCCCAGACGACCTCGCCGCCCTACGGGTCTGCCACGTCACCAGACGCAAGGGTAAAACCGGTAAAACCTGTCAGGGTGCGCCCTACTCCGCAGAGGTATAAAGGCAGGACGACTAGTCCTGTCACATCCATCGAAAATCACGCTGACACGGCAAGGACACGAAGAGCTCGGCAAGGACACGAAGAACTCGGCAAGAACACGAAGAGCTCGGCTAGGACACGAAGAGCTCGGCTAGGAGGCGAAAACTGATCTCAGTTTGGAAAAGGAAAGCGACTTCAAGCTTTGTTCAACTCGGAAAATAACCTACAGTTCGGCCTAATCAACGACCCGGACTCCTCAATCCGACGTCACCAATCTCGGCTCGCCTAACGCTATTTTAACTCTCGGCTCGAATTGTTTTAGGAGATTCTTTTTACTTCCCTAGAGAAACCCTATTTCGTACTTGTGTGATTCGTGCATCAACAGTCTGTAAGACTGTAACATGTATATATATGATGCATTTGTTGGCGTTTACAAGTTTTAAAGCACAAATGGCCTGATTGAAAAAATTGCATACATGAATCATAAGTTTGTCTCTGATCAATGCGAGTACTATTTGCATTGATAAAATATTGTAGTTAGGCTTACAATGCTAAGGAATAAATATACTATAAAATTTAAATTTTGATTTTCTTTGTTTTTAGTGAATTTTTGTTTTTTGACCAAAAAAAGGCTAAGGAAAACCAAAATTGAAATTTTATTTTATTATTTAGATAAATCTCAAAAAAGAAACTAAATATTATTTATTTTTGTGACATTTATCTTTTGTAATCTTTATTTTAGTAAAAAGAAAGAAGGAATGGTGGCGCCGGAAAGTGACCGTAGGGACAGTCATTTACATTCTCAGCGTTTCTCTTTTTGGTCCTCAAATCTTCACCTACAAGATCTTCTTCCCTCAATCTCCGATTTCAAATCTCGCTTCTCCGTTCAAGCAACCTCCGAATTCGTAGAGTATAACCAGGAATTAGTAGTCGGAGAAGCGATTTCTGCTTCGATCTCTAAATCCGAAGTTCCGATCTGACGAAATCTAGGGTTTTCTCATCTGGGTCGAAGTTAAAGTGGAAAAAGGTTTCGAATTTGGCGTTAGAATGGCGGAATCTGGTGGAAGCTGGCGAGATTCTTATAAAGGAATGTCGTCTGATAACATCAAGGGTTTGGTTTTAGCATTGTCTTCTAGTTTGTTCATTGGTGCTAGTTTCATTGTTAAGAAGAAAGGGCTTAAGAAAGCTGCGAGCACTGGCACTAGGGCAGGTATAAATCTCTTTCTTAAAATCGAATTTTGGTTTCTGGGTTTCGATTTTGGTGCTGGAATTGTGGATTTAGAGTGTGCAGAATTATGTTCAACTCAACAAGCAGCTAACAGATTTGGGATCTCTAATTGTAATTGAACTTATCAGGATTCAATTAGCTAGCTATTCAGAGGTTGTGAACAGATAGGAGATTTTGTGTTTCCTCTGTTGAACTTCACTTTATAGTTAATAGCCACATTGCTTCAAGACTGTGTGTAAATGTTGTTCCTTTAGGTTTCCTTTGGTTCACGAAAGGTAACAGACTGTGTTTGTAGGTGTTGGTGGGTATTCTTATCTCTACGAGCCCCTTTGGTGGATCGGCATGACGACAAGTGAGTATTGTTTGTTCCTTGGTGTTTGCTTTTTCTTCTTCTTTCTTAGTGATTGATTACTATGTTGTTGGTTTATCTATTGCTCATTGGTTTCTGCTTCTTTCAGTGTTACTTGGTGAAATTGCCAATTTCGCTGCTTATGCATTTGCGCCGGCTATACTTGTCACTCCTCTAGGTGCTGTCAGTATCATTATCAGGTACGAGAGTGCCCATGTCTCTGACTCTTCTATATGGTTTTCTATATACGTTTAAATCGGTGATTTTTCTTTCTTTCTCATACACTTTGTTCTCTGAATCTCAGTGCTGTCTTAGCTCATATTATATTACGGGAAAAACTACACATCTTTGGAATTCTTGGCTGTGCCTTATGTGTTGTGGGTTCCACAACTATTGTCTTACATGCCCCTCAAGAACAAGAAATTGATTCTGTGATTGAAGTTTGGAATCTTGCAACAGAACCAGGTGCGTTGCTTGATGGGACTCTCATACTCCAGTGTTTGGGAGATAGTACTTTGTACCATCTCACGAATTTTTCCCCCCCTTTCATTGTAAGTTTCTAACTTCATCTAGTTTAATTGCAGCCTTCATGTTCTATGCGAGTCTGGTAATTGGGGCTGCTGTATTTCTCATTATCCGTTTTGCCCCCCTATATGGGCAAACAAACGTAATGGTTTATATTGGTATTTGCTCGCTTGTGGGATCATTATCGGTATGTAGTTTTTGGTATTTTCAGTTTGTAATCCCATATTTCTTTAAAAAGAATCTTAATTCACTTTACCGATAATGATATTGTCAAATATGTTAACAGGTCATGAGTGTAAAAGCACTTGGAATAGCATTAAAGCTGACATTTTCTGGAACAAATCAGTTATTTTATCCACAAACATGGATATTCACCTTGGTCGTACTTACCTGTGTGATAACCCAATTGAACTACTTAAACAAGGTAACTATTAATTAAGTGCTTCAGGATAATCGAATTGTAGAATTCATCGTGGGTATTTTTTGTTGTCTAACTTTGTTACTAAAGGAATTGCATTTCACTTACAGGCTCTTGATACATTCAATACAGCTATAGTATCCCCTATATACTATGTGATGTTTACATCTCTACTATTTTGGCCAGTGTCATCATGTTTAAGGTACCCTCTTCTCCCATAAAATGTATATATAGTTGTATGAGGGTGTTGTTTCGGTACATGATTCGAATTGCCAAGTTTTTTTGAACAGGACTGGGATCGACAAAACGGTACTCAAATTGTTACAGAAATGTGTGGATTTGTTACAATACTTTCAGGCACTTTTCTTCTCCACAGAACAAAGGATATGGTCGAGGGTGCGTTCCTTAATTTCATTTATGGCGCTTATTTGCGTTTCTTTTTTATCCGACCTTGGAAGACACGTTTTTCTGACTGGCAAGAGCTTGATTGTTTTTGCATTCAATCAGAAAAAATAGTATGCGGATATGAAAAGAAACCTTATTCTTACTCTTACTCTCTCTTTAAGTACAAGGAACAAGAATATGCATACTATATGTATATAGATCTATGTACACACTCCTAGCTAGAATTTGGTAAACACAGTTGGTGATTTTACAAAAGGATTGACATCTGTTGTATCTATACATTCTTAACACCAAGTGTCTGTAACTCTGTATCCCTCTGGAGTTTCTGAGAGCTTGAAACTGACTGTTATTCGCTATTTTATTGCAGGTTCATCGGTAATATTACCGTTGCGGATAAGCAAGCATATAAATGAGGAAGAAGGCATTCCACTTAGACGCCAAGAATCTCTCCGGTCACCTTAAAAGCTTCTTCACTTTGTTTTCTGGTTCACTGCGATAACTGCAAACCAGAGAGTCAACCTCTTTTCCTTATCTCGACCTACTATGAACATGGACCATGGTTCTGTCTAACACTTACAAAATGGTTCTAGAAGATTGAAGAAGGAAAGAGGAGCAAGAGGACGAGATCTCAGATGAGATCATCTTCTTCTCCAATATCGGTAAATATGCTGTGAGTTCAAGCACACGCCATTAGCACACACCCACGCGTAAACCCTTTTGTGGCATTTAAAATTCTATAAACATGAGATGGGTTTTGCTTAAATTGGTCTTACAAGCATCTATAACTAAAGACTTCAATTCAAGATTTGCATTTTTTTTTATATTGAATCTTCTATTTTTCTTCCTTGGTTGGTTTAAACCCTTTGAAAAACAAGAAATGGAGACTTTCTAAGTTGACGAAAACAGAAGTTTTATCAGTCAATTGTTAAAGAAATAGTGTTATTTAATGAGGTGGAGTTATAACATTGATGATAATAGATAGTGACAACGTTTTATGTTCATCTTTTCCTCAATCAATCACTCCACCGGTAGATGAGATGTCAAATTGAAACTGCGTTATGTCACTCTCATTACTCTTTTTTATACATTTCTTATCTTATAGCTAATCCAAAACCAATTTATTCAAAACTATATAATAGCTTAAAATCTCTAGCTTAAAAAGTTTCAACTTTCACATATCTGATTTGGATCATGGTAAAAATTGATAAAGTTAAATCTGATTTGCATTACAAACAGAGGGATACGTGTACAAGGCTATAAACTATATATTACCTAAAAAAGAAAACTAGAGTTGACAAATCGCCTATAAATATCGTAACTTAATAAAAAAGAACCCAAAAGAGACAAAATTTTATTTTGTTACCATAATTACATATTTCTTTCGAATAAATCAAAATCTTTCTCTGCAACTCCTAAAATCCTTAGAGAAAGAAAAAAAAGAAAAAAAAAAAAAGCGCTTGTTGTAGCAGTTGAAGCAGAAAAGAAAAAGAAAAAAAAAACAGAGTAACGAATCCAACATCACAAAACAAAACACAAACTGTGTGTTGTCTCTTTGGTCATCTCTTCTTCTTGTTTCTTCTTTTTTTAATAATTTTTAATTTGGTTTCTTGATCTCAGAAAAATGGCTCTGAACAGTGTCTCATCTGAAGAATTTAGCTTCCCATCGCTAGCTTCTCATGATCCTTCTCACCATTCTGGTCTCGATTCACCTCCTTTGTGGAAACACTCGCCGGTTAACTCCTTCCGCCGGAAAGATTACGACTTTGGTTTAGCGAGATTACTCATTGGAAAAGACGATGATCATGATCAGAGGAAGAGCTTCTCGTACGTGGAGATGAGAAGTCGTTGGATGGACGACAAAGAAGAGGAGAAAATGGATATGTTATGGGAAGATCTCAACGAAGAATTGCCTCCAAGAAGCCAGAGTTTAAGGATTGAACCTGGCGGTGACGGTGGAGAGAAGAAACC